TGGCAAAGAGTTTGGACTGAAGAGATTGTGCAAAGGTGAAAGGTCAAAGATCTGTCTCCCTGTCTGCTTCTTATGAACTGTAGGAGGCTGGGATGTTAGAGCAGTTTAAAAACAACAATTTCTTCACACGAGTTATCAGATTTTTGTGTGAAATTACCCAACTGCAGTAACATGGAATTTATTTTAAAATAATTTACACAACTTTACCAACATCTGTTTTCACTGAGTCTGAAGAGCATAATTAAACTGCATTTTCTGTCCGTTTTTAGAAGCTATGAATAAGATTATTTCTGTAATTAATTATTATTTTTTGCATTTTATACAGCATGTCAAACTGATTTATAAAGTACATAATTTGTATAGTCACAAAAAGTACAAAAATAAATAAATCTCAACCCGCAGTTAATAAAATAAATAGGACAAGTAGCTAAGATTATTAAATTAGAATTTTTAAAAGTGATCTCATAGTCATGCGATGGCAGCAGTAAATCGTAATTACCTTTTTGCACCATTACACAGATCGGTAGACAATTTGGGGGTTAAATGGCTTGCCCAGGGCCATGTCGACATGCAGCAGGAGCAATCTAGAATCAAATCCACATTTTTTGGATTATAAGACAACTACTCCACACGCTCAGCAAGAGTCATCCCAATTAGAGAGGATCATGCTGCATTTAGCAACAACTATTTCCAAATGACCAAATCATTGATCTGGATCAGTGGTCTCAAACTGCTGTACCCCAGGGCCAGAGTCCTGCAACTTTTATATGTGTCCCTTGCCCTACATGGTTGAGTGAAATGGCAAATCTGCCTCGCTAGCATGCAGTCCAGCTCTACAGAGCTCTGCTAATGAGCTGATATTGGAGCCAGTTGTGCTGAAGCAGAGAACGTTTGAAAGTTTCAGGACACCGGCACTTGAGGACTGTAGTTTGAGACCACCAATCTGGATGGAGCAAACAAAACAACTAGGACAATTGTGTAAGCTGAATGTGGGTGACTGATCAGCACATTATTAATAGTTCAATAAGTTGAGTCAATTACTGTCTTGGGGGGATGTAATGTGGTCTGAATCAAATAAATCTCGGCCACCGTTGGGAAAGTTTTGGGGGAATGAAACGCATTAAACTCAACAGAAGTGCCTAACAGCGAACATATTAGCATTTTCACACGTAGAATCTGGCAAGAACTCATTTTACTGGCAGCGACTGGCTGTTTGGCCTTGAGAAAATCGCTGTTGGTAAGGGTAATTAAAACGGTATCCATTAGCTACGGAGCATAGCGGTTGGAATTTGGAGCTATTGAAAAGTGTCATGTGGCGTTATGAAACTTTTTTTCCAGTTCCAGAGCGATGGGCACATCAAAATATGAAGACAGGCGTTTCAAGCGATTCCCATATTGTGTCAAGGGTTAGGACAGTTAACAGGTCGAGGTTTAAGGAAATTATGAGCTTAAAGAACTTGGGGAAAAAAAGGTTGCCCATCATTGATGGCATGGGTTTTGTCCCAGGGTGGCATTACCAGTTTTCATGGGGGTTAAACTGAGAGAGAATGGTTCTGCAAACACAAGGCATCTTTCTTACACAAGTGAAATTTAAGTGAAATATTTTTCTTCTAAGTAAAAAACTCACTCACTTACAGCAAAGTACGAAGGCGGGGCTATTTTGTTGCCGATTCTTTTGTCTACCAAAATATTGCAAGATAAATGTTTTTAAAAGTGGCGGGTGAGTCGGGGACATGCTTTAGTTTTTGTCTCCGAGTGTTGTTAGCCACACAGAAGAACCGCCGCTGGTCATTCTGTAATTCAAGAGCTTCTTTCTTTCTGACTTCAGGATAACAGTCATAAGCATGTCAGGCATTAAATGCTCACCTCTATATCCCGGGTTCCAAATAAAAGTATACATTTGCTTCACCAGAGGACGTCGTATGCCTTCAGCAGCTGGACAGCACTTTATGAGGCAGGGTTCATTTGTAGAAGAAATATTGAGGTTGCTTTAACGTCTCAAGATATCGCGCCCCGAGATCTTGTGCAGTAAAAGGGGGATCTGAGTATTTCTTCTGACCTCTCCTGCTCCTCATTTTCTCTACCAGACTTTCAGGCTCACCACTGTACGCAGGAAACCAATTTTCATTGCCAAAATAATACGATAATGATGTCTGGAACTTGGACACCAAAGCGAGAGTTAAGGTCACACAGAGGCATTTCAGTAGATGGACGTGGCACTTAACTTACGATGGTTTTTTTGTGTGTTTTTTCTTTTTTTCTCTTGTGCAGTCAATCATTCTAAAAAAAAAAAAGATACTGATATGATAAAGATGTTGATTATAATCATGATGAGACTGGTAAAGGCACAGAAAATTTGCAGCCCAGTAGGAGAAAATTGGAGATAAATCATACATGTGGTATTTGATTTTGCAGCAAATTGAGCTTGTAATGGATCACTCTGCAGTTCCCTCACTGGACATTTAAGCTGTCCACGGTGAATCTGACTCCAGAGCGAGGTTTTCTTTTCCGTTTAAAGACCACCTTGTAAGTCTGTCAGCCGATAACATCTGGTATCTGTAATTTAACTTTTGCACTAAATTTGCATTAAAGGAAAAAAAAAAAAAGAAAAGACAGCTCTTTGCTTTAACCAGTCCCTCCTGTATCCCTGTGTGTGTGTGTTTACATTGGCTTCATCTCAACTATGGAGCGCTGAAGGTTAGTTCAACCCAACCGATTCACGGTGCGCTCTGCAAAGATCATAAACGCGTCTGTCAAAACTGAGGAAAGGAAAGCCGGGAGATTTTAATTAACTGTTTGCACCTGAAATGTTTGTCACTGGATCAGAGATAAGAAACGGAAATCCTAAATAATCTGCAATTTTCCTTCAGAAAGATGTAAGTCGTGCCTAAACCTCACAGTTCAATATTTATCAAAGTTGAACAACAGAGTCAGGCTACAGTTTTATAATGAGACATTTCTCACATTGCCTGCCAGAAGAATTGCATGACAATTAAACGTTATTTTTTACCCTCATTCACTGCATTTGCTTTTTAACAAAGAAGCAATTTGCCGTTTCTTATGTAATATGTCTATTATTATCTTTGTTCTTAATAGTTCAACAGATTTATTGTCTTTGAATTAGATCAGTGTGTTACGATCTTTTTTCTCTGTGCTAGTTGGACTCCAAAATAGCAAAACAACAGAAGCACTTGTTCTTTATTTTCCTCTGGGACTTGGTGACAATTTGTATTTTCCTGTAATTCTTGTTTATTCAGGGGGAAAAAAAAGGAAAAAAATGAGAGAAAGACATAAAAGCAAGACAGATGCCGAATATGTCCGCAGTTGTAACTTTTGGAAACAAAACTGTCACAGAGTGCATGAAGTGAGTGATTGTAAGTTGTGAAAACTTTGCTGTAAAATAGCGCTGGCAGATGCTTAGCGTCGTATTCTGCTCCGTCCGCATTGCTCATATCACGCGGCTGTCTGCTTTATCCAAATAAAAATCGCTCTCCAATTTGGTTCTTAAGTACTGGACGCCATTTGGAGCAGCTGCTGCCGGATGTTCTAAATCCTTTTTGGAGGAGAATTTGATTCTTCATCATCACTCGATGTAGAAAACCGGGAGATTTATTTTACACAAGCAAGAGTCGCATTGTTTTCCCAAGCCCTGGATACATTTAGTCCAAGGAACAAAGAAACAAAAATGTGAACCTGAAGTGCTCTAAGTTGTGTTGATAAAGCAGGCTGTTTACAAGTATAATTTATCCCTCTCTTTGTTAGTGCGGATCGACATGATGATGCTGCCTCTTCCAACAGATGAGGCTCAGCTGTTCAGGGAGGTTTCTATCCAATGAGATATGATTCATTACTTGAAAACATATTACTGGGCCTGGACTGCGGATTGTTCAAGAAAATTGATTGTTCTTTTTAAAAAAAAATAAAAAATAAACCCCACTTATTGGGAACATAGTTTGTCACGATTAAAAGAACATAGGACCAAAACCCAGATGTGCAGGAGGCAGGATACGGATGCAAACTGTGATTTAATATCAAAACCGCAGCGAAACATCTCAAAACGAACCCAAACCCAAACGAAGGCCAAGCAAACAAGCTAGCGGAACAAATAACCCGATGCTGGTACAGAAGCAGCAAGTGTGGCAGGTAAAAATGCTGGTTGCGTGATTTGCAAATAGAGTTAAACTGTACACAAAGCAGCTCAAGCTGCCAGATTGAATAAAGATTGTCAACAAATGTTCTTGTCTTGCCTTGAAATTTCCGTTTGATTTCTGTCAAGCAGATTATACACTTTGACATTTATTTGTTAGAAGACAGAAAGAAGTGTTCTCTGTAATTTCTACCAATGAATTGTTCTGTGGACCGTAATGGCACACAAAACAAACTCAACCTTGTTTTGCCACAGGTTAACTTCCTGAAGTTGTGCCAAATGATTCTTGCCCTTGCAACTCCTCCAGAGTTAACGGACCACTTGGCTGCTTTTGTGATTTTAACTCCTTGATTTGATTAATGATTAATGATAATGATGCCTTTTCAAGTGAACAGTGAAAACTGTTGCTGTATGACAGTCTCGGCGTCTCTGACATGGTATGTCACAGTAATGCATCTTGTATGATAACATCAGCTATTGGCGAGCGCTGCTACTTCTCATTTGGTTTTGCCAAACAAACTCAACAATCCACTGAGACTTTCGCCGAACAACTAGGTTTATATTGAAAATAAATTGCAAATCTTCACAAGCCAAAACCAATGTCCCATCCTGACCATAGTTTGTAAATTGAGCTAATTATGAAGCAGTCGAGTTAAGATTTCTCTTCATTTCTTCTCATGCTAAGACTAGAGCTAATACAGTTATAATTCAGACTAGAAGCCTTATATGAAAACAGGTGGTGAGGGAAGAGCAATAGACATCTAGAGGCATAAAATATAACATGACATTAAAAAACATGAAAGAAAAAAAACAAAGCATGAGAAACTATTGACTATTCTTTTTATACTTGTAGCACGCAAACTGAAGAAGATTGGACAACAGAAGAACCCAGAAGAAGAACATCCTGGACAGGAAGCGCCAGAAGTACCCCACAACATGTCTCCTAAGTCAGGTCCGAGCTTGAACTCCCAGATGGTCTTCCTGAACATCCTTGAGTCCATCGAGCCTGAGGTGGTGAATGCTGGACACGACTGTGGCCAACCAGACTCAGCTGCTGGCCTGCTCACCAGCCTAAATGAGCTGGGAGAGAGACAACTGGTCAAAGTGGTCAAATGGGCTAAAGGCCTACCAGGTAGGACACCAGAACAAACACACAGATGTCACAAATTGATTAGAGTCCTTGAAACAGGACTAAGCGTGCATTCACACCAGCCCCATTTAGCTCAGTTTAATCAAACTCTGGTCTACAAAGTCCGGTTCGTTTGGGGAGGTATGAATGCACAAATTCTAATGCGGACCAAAAAAAAAAAAAAAAAAGAAAAATCTGCACCACAAAAAAACCTGGGCCACTTTTGTTTAAAGG